ACAGCCAAAAGTAAAAAGAAAAAAAAAAAAAAAAGAAGTGGTTGCTAGAAATATGAAAAGGTTGACATGGAGTTCATGAAAGGTAGGGATGTTTCAGGCACAGAGCCCAGTCAAGGGGCCAGGAAGTTACTATTACTGCATTTAACACAGTTTCTGCATGGAAACTCCTATGCATCCTTCAGAGCCCAAGTCAGAAATGCTCTTCTCTGGGAAGCATTTCCTGACTTCCCAGGCTACCTCATGTTCCTGTTAAGATTGGGATTTATTTAATGGTTGTTTTTTGGTTTATTTATTTGTGTAATCTGAAGCTGTTACCAGGCTATGAGCTCCCTGAGGGCCAGGTTATTTGGGTCCTGAAGCATAGACATTTTGACGGCCCTCTTTAAAAATATGAAATTATAAACACAAAAAAATTTGAAAGTGAATATTTATTCAGGATGAGAAAAAAATCCCAGCAATATATATTTTTAAAACATACATGAAGTTTTTAATGCAAAGATACATCAGTCGTGAATTCCCTGGCTGTCCAGTGGTTAGGACTCCACACTTCCACTGCAGGGGGCATGGGTTTGGTCCCTGGTCAGGAAACTAAGATCCCACATGTCAGGTGGCACAGCCAAAACAAACAAACAAAGAAAAGATACATCAGTTTGTTCTCTAGTCCTTTTAAGAAACCAACAAAAGGTACTTTGACTGGTTTAGTTTGACTGTGAAAAGCAACACCACTTTTGTGTACTGAAAGAAAAATAAAAGTTACATTTGGCTCATTGGTTCCATACTTCATCTACCAGTGTATTTGCTGCTATTTACAAATGGAAATGTCTATTTAGTTCTATGTATTAATCTGAATAACAGACGCATATTACAATATTTGAGGCAGATGGTAAACTTTCTTATAGGTCTTACCATGGGGCAAACACTATTTCACAAAGTATAATAATGTTTCATTTTTTAAAGTTGAGGTAAAGAACTTGAGCAACAAAATAGCAAAGCTTCACGCGCAGTGAAATGTAACCTCACGCTCCGATTATGCTCTCTGCCTTTCCATTAGGCCAGTGTAGCTTTCTACCTGCTACAGTAGAAAACAGGAACTGCTTATAAAGCCTGAAAATAAGATGTTCTAAACCCAAATCCCAGAGCGTTTTAGTAGGATTAGCATCTTTGAGAAAAGTACTAATTGCCCAACTACTCCGTCAAAACAGCTCCAGAGAAAAGCTCTGCTTTCTCAGAAGACTTATTCCATTCCATTCCGTTCCATTCACACCTTTTGCTAACTAGGGTGAAGAGCTTTAGACCAAACAGCACTTTTATTAATACTATTTTTCTCTCAAAGCAAGTTCTTCATGCTGACATTTCCAGTGTCAGAAAGAACAAATACTCTTGCATTCAAAAGTTTTTATTTTTATTTTTCTAAAATGTATTTTATTGAAGTATAGTTGATTTCCAATGTTGTGTTAATTTCTGTTGTACAGCAAAGTGATTCACATATATATATATGTATATACATACATATATATATTCTTTTTCATACTCTTTTCCATTATGGCTTATTACAGGATATTGACTATAGTTCTCTGTGTTATACAGTAGGATCTTGTTGTTTAGTGATTCTATATGTAATAGTTTGCATCTGCTAATCCCAAAGTCCCACTCCATCCTTCCTCCCTCCCCCTTGGCAACCACAAGTCTGTTCTCTGTCTGTGAGTCTGCTTCTGTTTTGGAGATAAGTTCATTTGTGTCATATTCTGGATTTCACACATAAGTGATACCATATGGTATTTGTCTTTCTCCTTCTGACATACTTCACTTAGCAGGATGATCTCTAGGTCCATGTATGTTGCTGCAAATAGCATTATTTGATTCTTTTTTATGACTGAGTAGTATTCCATTTGTATATACACCACATCTTCTTTATCCATTCATCTGTTGATGGACACTTAAGTTGCTTCCACGTCCAACAACTTTTAAAGTTTAAAAAACGGACAGGAACTTCCCTGGTGGTGCAGTGGTTAAGAATCTGCCTGCCAATGCAGGGGACACAATTTTGAGCCCTGGTCCGGGAAGAACCCACATGTCGCGGAGCAACTAAGCCCATGTGCCACACCTACTGAGTCTGCGCTCTAGAGCCCGTGAGCCACAACTACTGAGCCCACGTGCTGCAACTACTGAAGCCCGCGCGTCTAGAGCCCGTGCTCCGCAACAAAGGGAAGCCACTGCAATGAGAGGTCCACTCACCGCAACAAAGAGTGGCCCCCCCTCTGCAACTAGAGAAAGCCCGCGCGCAGCAGCAAAGAAACAACACAGCCAAAAAAGATAAAAAAGAAAAACAAAAAAACTGACAAATACCATGAACAGTATAAATTTAAAATAATAGCACGTTTTAATTAAAATACTGCTTAAACCTCTTCTATGATACTTTTTTCCTTACTTTTTTTGGCTGCACACCCTTTTATGATTTCTGAGACAACACTATATGATATTTTCTATAACAGGACTAGAAAGATAAGTCAGTCTTTCCTTTTGCATGATTGACCAAAATTAGTTTTTTATTAGTGATCATTTAGACTTTTTTTCTTGAGCTTTGCCATTCATTATTAGTAAGATTATTTATTCTCTTAAGGACTGTTAAACTTGGGATAACCTCTATCAAATTTCTTACATATGTGAGCTTTAAGATTTGAAAGGCTTTTCCATAGACTGGCTTCTGGCTTCATATGTTTCCAACCTTATTTCTCCTCCAATACCCTCACACCAGTGAGGCCAGTCATAATGAATGGTCTCTGATTCTGTACCTTCATATCACAACACATCACAGCATAGAGGGCATGAGGAGGATTACTGGAAGGCATTCTGGGGCATTTATTAGAAATAATAAACCTATACCTGGAAGGAGCTAGGACCCCATAATTATATCCCCCCCAAACCCAAACCCAAAGCCACCTCCCCTTAGCCAGATTTCAAAAATGCCCGTGACCATCTGAAGAGAGGTGCAATGGAGGAGATCGGGGTGGAAAGAGACAGTGATCTGAATTGACTGTGGTTGAAATACCTTAATTTTGTAAATTTTATACAAATATATAATCTCATGCAAATAATATGTCCTGATGTGTAAGCTTCACGAGTTTCTTTCTTTCTCTTTTAAAGTGAAATCAAGTTTATTTAGAGAGGTACACATTCCATAGGCAGAATGTTGTCCGTCTCAGAAGGGAGAGCGGCCAGCTTCAAGAGTTTCATGATAAATCCACTCCTGCCAAAGAAGTCCCCCAAGGCCTAGCCTTGGACATCACACACAGTGAGGTATCAAGTTTGCATCAAATGTCAGGTCTAGAAAGAAGAGCATTAGAGAGCAGCAAGGCCAGTGGTTTTAACCTTCTCATACAGTCTTCAGACTCTGAGGTGGTGTCTCAAAGTCTGAGGTGGGGACGTCTTAAAACATACATGACCTCTGTTTAAGTAATAATGATGACATTAAGGGTCATCATCAGCCTGACGTGCACTGTGCACTTTACTATGTGACAGACACTGTTCTAAGTAAGTAACTTGATACCCCACTGGTATCGAGTTACTTACCCTTTACAATATACCTACAAAGTTGGAACGATCATTATTCCATTTTACAGATAAGGAAACTGAGACTTGAAAAGTTTCAGCTTTATATATTAAAGTTCCATGTATAATGCCTTTGTAAAAAAATGGTTCTACTAATTACAGGTTTTGAAAAAGGCTGAAATGGCCCAAGCCCTTCCTTTTACACTATGGGGAAGTAAAACCCAGAAAAAAGGGAGGTCATTTGCTCAACGTCACACATTCGTCCTTTTTCTTTTTTAAAAAATTATTTATTTATTTATTTATTTTTGGCCGTGTTGGGTCTTCGTTGCGGTGCGCATGCTCCTCACTGCGGTGGCTTCTCTTGCTGCGGAGCACGGGCTCTAGGCGTGTGGGCTTCAGTAGTTGTGGCACGTGAGCTCTACAGACTCTAGAGCACAGGCTCAGTAGCTGTGGCGCATGGGCTTAGTTGCTTGGCGGCATGTGGGATCTTCCCGGACCAGGGCTTGAACCCGTGTCCCCTGCATTGGCAGGTGGATTCTTAACCACTGTACCACCAGGGAAGTCCCCACACATTTGTTCTTATTTCCTGGATGCCTGCTCTGTGCCAGGCACTGTTCTATGACCTAGGGCTTCAGAGAACAACAAGACACTCACAGAACACAATTTTAGTGGGTAGGGAGCAGTCAAAGGACAATACAAACAAGATAGATATAAATAAGCAAAGTAATTCCAGTGAGTGCTGAGATAAATTCGTGGACATGGGACTGAGTGACAGGGAGGGAGAACACTAATTCAGACTGAGAAGTGGTCAGGGAAATGTGGTCTGAGCAGGTGACATGTGAGCTCGAAATGTGAGTGAGCTGGAGAAGCCAGCCATGGACCTCCATGGGAGAGGAGCACCCCAGGTGGAGGAACGGTGAGGGCAAAGGTCCTGAGGCAGGAATACTTTGTCTGTAAAATAGAGCAGACTCCTGGGCCAGTGCTCATTCACCACTTGCTGTCTCTCTAGGCCCGCAGAGAGGCCCTTTGATGTCCTGGGCCTCCCTTAAGCTCAGCCCTAAAATGCCAACTTCTCCAGGAAGGCAGCAGCTCTCTGAGGCTGTGGGTCCCCCTCCCAGAAGCCCTGTGGCTGAACCGGATCTGAGTTTCCTGGTTCCTGTCTGGCAGGGGATGAGCAGACATCCTCCCCGCCTTCTCTCCCCAGGCTCCAGCCCCAGTCCCACATCTCCATGGCAACCCTAGACACAGTCCTGATCTGAAGAAGGATCTGGAACAGGGAGCACAAACATCACTGAAGAGACCAGAGGAGCTGGCGTGCTTGCCTCCCTTGCTCTCTGTGTCCTGCCAATCCCTCCACTGGCCTAACCAGGCCCCTATACCCCATTCTCCCCAAAGACCCCAAACTGAAGATTCTGCAGGTCTTCCCCATCGCTGGGCACAGGAGGGCCTGGATGGAAGCCTGTCCTCTGCAGCTGCCCCAAAGGCTGCTCCTGCCGGGGGCAACTGCCCTGACTGCATCTGCTCTGCACACAGGTGAGTACAAGGTAGCTTGGCTGGGGCAGGCAGGGGATTCAGGTCCCACCACCCTTTGAGATTGTGTTTCCTCAATCAGCACTCACCCTGATGAGCTGGGATCCCTTGAGCTGGGGGACACTGGGAAACCCTGTGCCTGGTCTTGGCTGGCACCCTCAAGTCCACCCCCACCCCTCTGGGTGGCTGGAGCTCCAAGTCACCCAGAAGCAGGTGTCTGGGGGCGGGTGGGGCAGTCTGGCACCGGGAAACACTGTGGGCTTTGGAGTCAGACGGCCCTGCGTTCACACACACACCCTTGACATTACTGTTTCCACTGTCTAAGACTTGGTTTCTTCAGCAGTAAAATGGAAAGAATAATAGGCCCTTGCCCCTTAAGGCAGAGGTCCCCAACCCCCAGGGCCAGTCCGTGGCCTGCTAGGAACCGGGCCTCAAAGCAGGAGGTGAGTGGTGGGCAAGAGAGCAGAGAGCGAAGCTTCATCTGCCGCTCCCCATCACTCCCTGTCACTCCCCGTTGTTCCCGTTGCTCCCCGTCGCTAGCATTACCACCTGAACCATCCCCACCCCCCGACCCCCATCTGTGGAAAAATTGTTTTCCACAAAACCAGTCCCTGGTGCCAAAAAGGTTGGGGACCACTGCCTTAAGGGACTATTATTATTGTGCGTATAAGGTGAGATAAACCATGCAAGACACATAGACAGTGCCCAGCTCATAGAAGGTGCTCGTTCACCCACTCTCTGGACCTCCGCCTGTCCCGCGTGCCTCCAGGCCAGGTTCTGGCTTTAGTAGGTCTGCACAGATATGAGAAGATGCTCCCACGTGCTGAGCCCTAACGGAGAATTTCTCCCCCGAAGACCCACATCCCGGCTTGTCCTCAAGCACCACTGGTGCCCCTACCATGCGCCAGAAAAGCCATGTCTTGTTCTCCTTCTATCCTTACAAAAATCAGATGGTTTGAGTACTTATACGTTATCTCATTAATCCTCACAACAACCCTGTACCAGTGAGGATGTTTTGGGTTGTAAGTAACAGTTACCAGACTAAACAGAGCTTAAACCATAGGACAGGGCTTCCCTGGTAGTGCAGTGGTTGAGAGTCCGCCTGCCGATGCAGGGGACGCGGGTTCGTGCTCTGGTCCGGGAAGATCCCACATGCCGCGGAGCGGCTGGGCCCGTGAGCCATGGCCGCTGAGCCTGCGCGTCTGGAGCCTGTGCTCCGCAACGGGAGAGGCCACAACAGTGAGAGGCCCGCGTACCGCAACAAAAAAAAAAATTAAAAAAATAACAACAAACAAACCATAAGGACATTTATTATTCCACTTAAGAAGAGAGGCCATAGATGAGTCCAGAAATGGTTAATTCAGCAGCTCACCCATGTCAGGGCTCCTCCATAATTCTCATGACCTCATCCTTGCAAGATACCTGCTGCAGCTCTGGGCGTCGCATCCTCAGTCAATAGCTTTCAAAAGCAGGAAGAAAAAGGGGCTCCTCATCGCACAGCTCTCCCTCCTTTTTTTTTTTTTTTTTTAAAATCAGGGAAGAAAACCTTTCCCAGGAACGCTCAGCAAACCTCTCCTTAAATCTCATTGGCCAGAATCAATTCACAGGCCAATCCCTAAACCTGGCAAATGGAATTATGATTACAAGGCTTGGTTTAGGCCAAAGACCAGGGGGGCTCTCTGATAATTGAGGGGAATTAAGTTTCTCTTAGCAAGGAGAAACGGAACGCCTGTTGGCTGGGCAGGTGCCCAACCGTGTCTCCCCCATCCTTTTATTTTTTGGCTGCACTGCGAGGGTTGTGGGATCTTAGTTTCCCGAACAGGAATTGAACCTGGGCCCTCCACAGTGAGAGTGTGGAGTGGTAACCACTGGAGGGAAGGCCAGGAAATTCCCTCCCCCATCCTTGAATAACACTTCCGTGATGCTCATTAAATGCCAGGCACTACCCTAAGCACTGAACCCATACACGTCCACAATCCTTTAGTTTCCACTACAAAATATGAAAAGCTCTGACAACCAAAATTTGTTCTTAGCTAACTAACTGGCAACACCTGACCTGAACTGACAGGAGGCTGTTTACAGTCTGTATTTGTCCTACTTAGGGTAAATGTTCTGTGCAATTGCTCTAGAAAATGTGTTTGATCGTGGAGGGCTGTGGCAGACTCCATTTGGGGCTGCAACATATTATATATCTTTCTAAAATCTGAAAAATTCTGAAACACATCCTAGGGTTTTTGAATACGAGATTGAGGACTTGAATTACATTTTTTAATCCTCACAAAAATTCTGACATTGCTCAATCATCCCCATTTTCCCGACAAGAAGACTGAGGCTCAGAGAGGCTGAGTGACTCACTCGGGGGTCACACAGCGGGCAGAAGGCAGGGCCAGGCTTGGAAGGGGACCGCGTGGTTCCAGGGTCGGTGCTTTTCGCCGCAGCCTACCTGGTGGACCTGTGCGGCCGGACGTGGCAGGCGGACGGGCTGCTGCTACGCTCGCACTCCGCGTCGCGCCGCTTCTACTTCGTGGCCCCGGACACCGACAGCAGGCTCTGGATGCGGGCGGCGACCCCCGGCGACAGGATCCGCTTCCAGTTCCGCTTCTTCCTGGTCTACAGCCTGACCCCGGCGGCGCCCAACACCTCCTCCCCGGCGCCGGCGCCGGAGGACCCCTGCGCACCCGGGTCCTACCTGCAGTTCTACGAGGGCCCACCGGGGGCGCCATGGCCCTTGGGAGCCCGGTTCTGCGGCCTGACCATCGCTGGGCCGGTGGCGTCCTCCGGGGACTTCCTGGGCCTGCGCCTGGTCACCAGAGGCCGCCAGCCCCGCGTGGACTTTGTAGGCGAAGTCTCCTCTTTCCTGTTGGGTGGGTGCGGGCTGGGCCTGAGAGAGGGCGGGGGCTGGGGCCTGGCGGCAGGGTCAGGGGCTTCAGGAAGGGGCGGTCCAGACCCAAAGAGCCAACCCCATAAACCTGACTTCCATGGATGCACGGACCAGCCCCTCACCCGTTCACACACAGCTCCCACTCCCACACGATTCCCACACGCTCACACACCTCACACTCCAGCACCCACCCCACTCACACACACTATACCTGTGCACAACTCACACCTCGTACACACACCTGGCACACCCACCTGCACCACACACACTGAAACACCCAACCCACAGGCCTGGCGTACCGTACACTCTCTCCCACACATAGTTCACATCATGCACACCTCATCGTACACAATACCACTTTGCACACTGCCATGCAACTCACACACTCTCATGTTCGCACACTGGCTTCTCTGTCCTGGGTCCACCCGATGGCAGAGGGGCCGAGAGTTGGGACTCTGGTGGCTGTAAGTGACAGAAACCCACTTAGGCAAGGAAAGGGAACCGAGAATAATAATCCCTCGTTGAGCGCCGCCTGTGGCCCTTCTTATGCCAGATCCCATCTGTTCTCACAGCAGCTCTGCTGGGCCAGTGCTCATACCCTCGTATTTATTGATGGGAAACAGGCTTGGAGAGGTTGAATGATGCACCACAGGACTCCCAGCTCAGAGGTGGAGGAGCTGGGCTTTAACTGCTAGAGTTTGTCCTCTGCTCCAACTGAGTCAAGGCTTTAGTCCCAGCAGGTTTCCCCAGGACTGAGGACACTCACTGATGTTTCAGCAGAGGAGCTGCCAAAGCCCAGAAGTTTCCAAAACCTCGGAGAAGCATCATCGCCCTCGCTGGCAAAATGTCCAGACTGGAGAATTAAACATGGGTTTGGGGCTTCCCTGGTGGCGCAGTGGTTGAGAGTCCGCCTGCCGATGCAGGGGACGCGGGTTCGTGCCCCGGTCCAGGAAGATCCCACATGCTGCGGAGTGGCTGGGCCCGTGAGCCATGGCCGCTGAGCCTGCGCGTCCGGAGCCTGTGCTCCGCAACGGGAGAGGCCACAACAGTGAGAGGCCCGCGTACCGCAAAGAAACAAAACAAAACAAAACAAACATGGGGTTGTGAGCACTTCAAGGCAAGAACAGGGGGCCTCCGAGAGCCAACACAGGTTCACCAGGAGCTGGACCTCGACATGCCAGGCCCCGGACGGCCCTTCAACCTGAGCTGGTCAGAGAGCACCCGCTGCTGTCTCATGTGTGTCTTTGGGGCCATGACTGATGGTGCCTGGGTTCCCCTTTCTGGCTCCTGTGGGCTGTAGCGTGCCAAGGGTCCTATTATATTGTTTTGCAAGCAGATCTCACAGGCTAATTGGAAATCAACCCCTCCCTCCCCCCTTTCCTCCCTCCCTCCCTTTCTCACCTTCCGTGAGGTACCAGCCGAGCATGTTGCGGCTGCTGTGTGTTCAGCAGGGTTGGACTCGAAAGCAGGCGGCAGTGGCGAAGCCCTGTCACAACTGGCTTCCTTGGATCACTTTTCACCACTTCTTACTTGGGTTACTGTTTGTGTTTTCTCTCTCACAGATACTCACTCTTACCCCTGCACATCTTTTATAAATCAGAGCATTCATTTGCACATGAAAAAACCCCAAGTCAAGTCGGCTTAAGCCAGAGGAGAATTTGGGGGGGCTCCTATAACTGGGATATTAAGGTGTTCGTTCAGGTATAGCTGGATTCAGGAGATCAAGGAATGCCACCTGGGCTCTATCTCTTTGTTCTCTCCCTTGCATTGCACTGGGTCTGTTTGGCTTCCATCTCAGGCAGCTCCAGTTCCTCTTTCTACTTGGCAGCAAGGTGACCCTGCAGCTCCAAGCCCACAGTCCCCCTTATAACTCTCACCTCAGTGAAATAAAGAGCGAGGATCTTTTCTCTCTCTCTCACTTTTTTTTTTTTTTTTGGCTGCGCCGAGTGCCTTGCAGGATCTCAGTTCCTGACCAGGGATTGAACCTGGGCCCCCAGCAGTGAAAGAGCTGAGTCCTAACCAATGGACTGCCAGGGAACCGCGAAGATCTTTTCTTATGGTTCTAGCAAAAGTCCTCGGGGCCAAATTTGATTAGTCACATGGGCCATGTGTCTGTTCCCGGGGCCAGGAATGGAATGCTCTGATCCCCATGTCTACCTCTGAGCCATGGTATTGGTCAGTCCCTCCTAAACCAGCTTTTCTCCACAGAATGGGGTGCTGGGTAAGCCAACCTGTCCGCCACACCCTGTGCACCAACTCATACCCTTCTCTCACCTGTGTGCCTATTCATTCATTTAACAAAGATTGAGTACCTGCCCTTGTGCCAGGTGCTGTTCTAGGCTCCAGGGATACATGCAGCAGTGAATGAAAGAGAAGTCCCTGCCCCATTTGAGCTGACATTCTAGTGGGGGAGGCAGACCATAAACAAAGAACCAATCAAATCCATAATCTGCAGAGGTGGTAAGTGCTGCAGAGGAACACAAATCCGGATAAAGGGGTGGTGGGGGAGGGATGGTGTGCTGTTCTCACGTGGAGGTGAGGGCAGGCCTTCCAACACGATGACATTTGAGTGGAGACCTGAGGGGAGCAAGCCACGCAGTTACGGGCAGGGCTGATGGCAGGTGCAGTGCCACGAGCCGGGATGAGCTTGGAGTGTTCAGGTTGCTGGGCTACCATAGGCTGCGTGCATGCACACGTGCACACACACACACACACTGGGTGCCACAGTGCTCATGAGCACGGGGCTGAATTCCTATCCTGCTGCTTAGATACAAGCTGTGTGGCCTTGGTCTAGTGACCTAACCTCCCTGTGCCTCGGTCTTCTCATCTCTAAAATGGGATTGATAATAGTATTGACCCTACAGGGTTAATGTGAGAACTTAATGAGCTGGGATGTGAACCACGCCTGGCTTGGAAGGAGCTCAATAAACGTTAGGTGCCATCATCATCCCCATCCCCACCATCATCTTTATGATCATACACCTGCCTCATCCGTACTCTCATCTGCACGCACATGGAGACAGCCCCTCCTGCTCACACCTCCCGCATCCCCTCCCCATAGGGCCAAACATTCTGCGGTGCTCAGCGTCCTCGTCGTGCCTCCCCTCTCAGCCCCAGGATGCTGTTGTGCCTACTTCCGATGTCAGAACAGCCGGTGCGTCCCCCCGAGGCTGGTGTGCGATCCCTGGGCACAGACAACTGTGGCGATGGCAGTGACCAGGCTTCTTGGCCAACAGCTAACTGCAGAGGTCAGTGACAGGTGTGGCTTGGGTCCTGCTGAGCAGCTGGGTTAGAAGCTGGAGGCCGGAGGCACAGGTGCGGCAGGAGAGGATGAGGTGAAGCACAGTAGTGGCGAATCCAATCAGACCAGACTGCCTGAGGACCAGAGGATGTTAGAGCTCAAATGGTGATCGAATCCAGCTGCTTCCAAATGTCGTTTCAGTGGTGGAAGCTTTTCCTACACAGAGCCTTGCAGAGGCCCCAGACATCACAAGGAGAGATGCTCTACTTAACTGGACGTGGGAGGCCTGGGCCGCGGCTGACTGATGTCCCACTGAGAGACTTGAGTTTGACCTTCAAGACTTTGAAAACCATTTATCCAGCCTGACTCCCACATTTTATAGATGGGGAAACTGAGGCCTAGGGAGGAGAAATGACTTGCCCAAGGTCATAGAGTCTCTGAGTGACATAACCAGGAATGACCTCTGTGGATGGACAGAGGGGACCAGACTAGGTCACCCCTGATTATCCTTCTTAGGAATCTGGACATGCCCCACTCCCAGTCAGGGTTGCCATGTCCTGTTGAACAGGTTGTTCGTTGCAAAAATGCACCTGGCTGAGGGGTAAAACCCAGCTTCCCGGGAGCCCACATACTTCCCTCCGCAGGCACTCCTCAGGGTCCTCCCTGACACTATGCTCTGTGCCCAGAGGCCCGGGCCCTATGTCCTCTCCTCCAGCTGCCACACCCGTTCCCCCCTCCTTCTCCTTTATACCGTATCGCCAGCTGGACTCGTCTTTGAACACTAGTTATATAACCACCTCCCCACCTGCCATCTCCCCGTGGCTGTGCAGGTGAGTCTCACACTTAACTTGCCCCAAACTGAACTCATGATCCACAGCCTGCCCTGCATCCTGCTTCTCACCCGTGTCCCCTTCTCACTCAGTGGCAGCTTTGAATTCCAGTTGTTCAGGCCCAAATGGTTGAGTGGTCCTTTACTCCCTTTTCCCTCTCAGCCCATAACCAAGCCATCAGTGTTGTCGGAATTAATCTGATGTTTTCCTCATGATAAGACTGCAGTCGTGGGTTATGAGGAGGAAGATCCCAGAGGTCAAGTGCACACCAGGCCAGACCAACGCGATCACTGCCCAACACGGTCCACGGATGTTGATGTTGGCCTTGGTCACCGGGTTGAGGCTGTGTTTGTCCGCTTCTCCGCTGTTACTCGGTCTCCTCTCTCCACACTGCCCTCTTTGGGAGGAAGTCATCACGCGCAGCCCACACGCTAGCAGGGAGTTAAGCTCTCCCGCCAGGGGAGCGTTTTATTCTTTTTTATTGGCCGCACCCCTCGGCTTGCGGGATCTTAGTTCCCGGACCAGGGATTGAACCTGGGCCCCCAGCAGTGGAAGCGTGGCGTCTTAACCGCTGGACCACCAGGGAATTCCCCAGAGGAGCCTTTTAAAACACTAAGTCAGATCGCATCACTCCCGTGCGCAGGACCCTCCTCACTCCTCACTCAACCCACACAAGCCTCCCAGGGGCCCCCAGGCCCTGAGTGACCTAGTGACCTGGCCCGTCACCTCCCACCTGCTCGCTTGCTCCAACAGCTCCTCCACTCTGGCCCCTGGCAGCTCCTTCCACGCTCCAGTCTTGTCCTGCCTCTGGTCTCTCACTAGCTCTTTCCTCTACCTGGAAGGCTTTTCCCAGAGGTTCACATGCTCATTCCTTTGCCTTCTGCAGGTCTTGACTTAACCCTCACCCTCTCCATGAGCTCTTTCCTTACCCCTTTGTTTAAAAATAGCAACCCTGGGATTTCCCTGGGCAGTCCAGTGGTTAGGACTCTGTGCTTCCACTGCAGGGGCCACGGGTTCCCTGGTCGGGGAACTAAGATCCCACAAGCTGTGCGGCCAAAAAAAAAAACACGAAAAGCAGCCCTGTGTCCATTGAAAGCAAAACAGGTAAACAAAACGTGGTACGTCCACACAATGGAATATCGTTCAGCCCTACAAAGGAAGGAAATGCCGACACATGCTACAGCATGGATGAACCTTGAGGACATTATGCTGACTGCAATGAACCAGTCACAGAAGGACGAATACTATGTGATTCTACCTATATGAGACACCCAGAGAACTCAGAGACGGAAGCAGAATGATGGTCGCCAGGGGCTGTGGAGGGGAAATGGGGAGTTATTCACGATGGGTACAGAGTTCCAGTTTTATGAGAGGAAAACAGTCCTGAGAACGGATGGTGTTGATGGTTGCTCAACAATATGAATGGACTTAACACTACGGAACTGTCCTTAAAAACGGTTAAAATGGTACATTTTGTTTTGTAGAGTTTACCACAATTGAAAGAAAACTAGCAACCTTGCCCCTCGCCAGCGCGCCCTGTCCCTCCTGCCCTGCTTGACTTTCCCTCGTAGCTCCTGTCTCCATTTGACACATGGTGGAATTTGTGTTTTGTGTTGCCTCGCCCTAAAACGCCAGCTCCATGGGGGCCTTTTTGTCTGTTTTGCTCACTGTCATATCCCCCAGTCCCTAGAGCAATGCCTGGGGTACAGTAGCAGGTGACTGAAAAATACTCATCAGATGAGTGGAAGAATGAACCTCTCTCTGTCTCCGTTTCCTTATCTGTAAACTGGGGATGATAAACCTACCCTCTCAGATTTGTCATGAACTTTAAGTGAAACCCTGTGGGTGAAGGGCCCAGCGCAGAGCATGGTTCTCGGTGCAGAGAAAATGCTCAGTACAGCATCACTCCTTGAGAAGTAGCTCCGGTCATCCACCCCAGCCCCTGGAGCTAGACTGTGAGTTCAAGTCCACCCCTGTCACTTCCAGCTGTGTGATCTGGGCAAGTGACTTAACCTCTCTGTGCCTCACTTCTCTTATCTGTGAAATAAAAATACTAACACTAAGAGGTTTGGGGAGGATTAAACGAGACATAATCATACCCTGCAAGGGGCAGATCTCAGTGTGTTAGAGCTGTTATTTGCCACTGCCGGTCCCTCTCCGGTGCCCAGCCAGGAAGGGAGTACGGATGATGGTACCTCCGGGCCCCTGACTCTTCCCCCAGCTCTCGGGTCTGCGGGCCCCCTGGGGATGGCAGCTGAGAGGAGCCCCCCAGCACGCCGGGACCCTGCACGACAGGATGCCGCTCCGGAAGGCAGATGGCTCTTGGTTATCGCCTGCTGCCGCTCCTTCCGCCGAGATCACACTTGTCCCTCTCCAGTGATGGGTGGGGGCAGCTGGCCCAGGCTGAGGCCTGAGTGCTCTTTCTTTCTACAGGCCTCCAGCCGCGGGGGTGGCGCTGGCCTCCTCGTGGGCCTCCTCTGGAGCTGCTGCTCCTCCAGCCGGCTGGCTTGGGGGGCTGGTGGTGTGCACCATCTGTTACACACGTCCTGGCCAGGTGGCCCCTGGGGGCCTGCGGCTGAGTGAGCCAGGTCAGGGGGGCTGTGGGCATCAGAGGAAGGAGAGTGGGCTCTGGGGTCAGACAGTCCCCGGGTTCTGCCCCCACCCCACACAGGGCTGTCTAACCTTGGGCAGATCATATAACCCTCCGAGACTCAGTCTGCCCCTCTGGAAAATGGGATGATTCCTGCCTCACAGGGTCATGGTGAAGGCCACAGGAGGCAGCTGACCCTGCATCTTGCATGGTGACTGGCACTCGGCTGGATCAGTGAAGGGCAGGGAGTAGGGGCCTCGCTCCCCTGAAGCTGCCTTGCTTCACGCCCGGACCTCACTTGCCCTGCTTTGCCCCATCCTGGCCCACCCTCAGGTACCACGAGTCCAGTCGTAGTCAAAGACACAGGAGACAGCCCTGGCGGGGATAGCACCGTTTATTAAGAAAGATCAGGATAAAGACCACAGGAGGGTCCCTTCTAGGACACAGAGGCCAGGCGTCCCGGACCCACCTCTGGGGGTTGCTGGTGGGGAGGGCGCTTGCCCCCAGTTGGGCCCTGGGGCTCCCACAGATGGGGCAGGGCTGTCACGCCCCCTTCCTGTCCCTCCCAGTCATGAGTCCTGGCTCCCCTACCCAAGGCATTAACTCTTTCTGACCACCAATGCTCTCCTCCCCCCATGTGCCCTGGGCCTTCACTTCCAGATCAGTGGGGGGACGTGGCCTGGTGCAGGCAGGGAGACACTCTCAGTGCTGGGCTCTGCCTGTAGCAGCTCCTGGTAAGAGTTGAGGTGGGCTTTCCCTTGCAGCCCCTCAGGGCAGGGGCCCTGGGCTAGGTGTGGGGTGGGAGGGATGCAGGCCAGGAGGGCTTGGTGGGAGGGGGGAGGCTGCCAGGGGCCGGTGGCCTGGCTGGCTAGGCGGAGGTGGAGGGGCGCTGGGACATGGGCTGGCAGGGCTGGGGGCTGCCTGCCCAGGGGTGAGCTGCCTTTTGCACCACAGTTAGCACTAAAGAGCTTTCCCAACCCGGGGGAGGGTGGCGAAGGCCACTGCGATGCCCTCTGCTCCGGGTAGCTGGTGAGGCTCCAGGCTGGAAGCCGAGTTTGTCTCCTGTAGAAATGAGGGCTGCCCAAGGGCTGAAGAAACGGGCAGCCCAGCACTACCTCGGGGGGCTCTGTTGGTGGGGGCAGTTCTGAGCCTGCTCAGCCACCGTGCCTGACCCCAAGTCCTGGTGACCCTTTGAGGCACCTGCTCCCATGCAACCCGCCCTGCCCTGCAGCCTGTGGCTTTGCCCAGGTGTGTCTGTGTGGGGTGGCGTGCCCACCCTCCAGTCCAGCCCAGGGCAGTAGCAGCAAAGCGTGGCATCGCCTCCGTTTCTTACAAAATATTCATAATAATAATATTAATAATAATATAGTCGACGCTGCGGGGCGGGGGCGCTGCCCGGGAGTCCGTGTGGGGCAGGCAGTGCCTACGAGGGGCAGGGGCGCGTGTTGGCCCCCGCCTGGGCGCGGTGCTGCAGGTCCAGTGGCTGTGGAGGCGGGGTGCCAGGCCGGGCAGAGTGCAGCACCAGGTTCTTGATACAGCCCGTGATGCCCGAGGAGAACCTGCCCCCGGTCAGCACCGCCACGTCGGGGGCTCCACCTGCAGGGAAGGGAGAGGGCGGGGCCTGTCAGCTCCAGGAGGTGGGGGGAGGAAGGCCCCGTGCTCTACCTCTGCCGGAGCCCCTGGCCCTCCCCGACCTGGAGGAGCGGCCCCAGGCCTGCACGAGGCCTGAGCTCAAGACTTACCGACGTAGATGCTGCCCTTGGTGTTGACTGCCACGTTAGGGCCTGGGGACTGGCCGCTGACCAGCTCCTCTCCGTCCACCTGGATGGAGCCTCTCCGGCCCTCTCTGCAGTGGAACGGGGTCAGGCCCCTCACCACCGATCCCCCGTCCTTCTCAACCCAGTGATAGCCCCCTCCCTTTGCTACAGAGACTCCAGTCAGAGCAGCGTGACCCCGCTCCCTGAGTTCTTTCTTGCCCGCTCCCTCCGCTGGATGAGAGATCTGGTCCCACAAACACAACTTCCTAGCACCCCACCCAGGCTTCATCCAGCCCCTAGGGTGCTTGTGCGCCCGCCCCATGGAGTTCTCTCCTGCCCTGGAAGTCTGTGCTCCGGCTGGCGGGCTCTCCCCTGACCCCGGCTTCATGTTCTGTCTCCCCAGAGCTCAATGCCTGCCTCCCTGCGCATGATGGGGGGCGTCCTGTCCCAGTCCAGGACTCCGGGCCCTTCGCCCTAGTGCCCGGGGGGCTCCCTTACCGCAGTGCCATCACCCGATGCCACTCGCCATCGTTGATGGGGTCCTCAGAGACAAGGCGGGCCTCCCCACTGCCCAGCTGGTAGCTGCAGTCACACAGGCCCAAGAGGGTGTGAGCAGGGGGCAGGACTGGAGGGGGTGTGGGACAGTGGTGGTGGTGTGCAGCTGGGGCACTGGGCGCTGCAGCTTCTTGCTGGGGGGGCCATGGGGCTGACCGGAGGGGAAGCCACTGAAGGGTGAGGGGGCTGAGGGAAGGGAGAGGAAGGGTCGGGTGCCAGGACCCACCTGAAGACAAGGTGCCCATCCTGAAGCCCAAGACTGATGAAGTCCTTGCCTCGGCCGGACTCTCCCACCTCCTGCCAGAGAAGCACAGGGTTCCGGGGGCTACCGACAGCTGTGGCCTCCTCCTTCCTCTCTCCCACTCCTGTGGCCACCAGGGGGCTGGGAACCCTGAGATCCTGGGCGGGACATCCACACTTACCACGCCCTGCCAGAGCAGGAGGCCGCTGGCCGTGCTGGTCTGAACCTCCAGCTCGATGGTCTCGGGCACCTCAGGGTGACTGCGGTGCGGGGGAAGTGGGTGAGAGGGCAGAAGCCCCAGATTCCCGTCCCCCACCCTGGGCCCACAGACTCTCTTCTCACCTCCTGGAGAAGATGCGGCCAGGGAGGGCGAGGAAGCCGTCATCGTAGAAGTAGGCTCCGTACTGCCCGGGGGCATCTGTCGGGGGAGTGGGGGCGATGCTGGGACACCTGCTCACCCGCATGGAGTATCCATCCCGCATCGGTGCCCTTGACCCCCACCTCCACCCCGACCTGTACTACTGCAGGGCTCTGAACCTGCAGTCCCTGGAGACCCAAGGGGGCTGGGGGCAGAATTCAGAGGCCTGTGAACTTGGCTTGGAAAACATTACAGTCCTAGCCTTGCTCTCTTCTCCCTGAAGGTTAGCAGTTCCTTTAGTCACGCAGGTAGGCAACACACTGAGGAGGAGCAGGGCCTGTGACTCAGTCACCAGTGGAAGATTTCCTTATTGCATTACAGTTGCTGCAAATATTTCAGAACATTGTTTATGCTTATTGCAATTGTAGCTGTTGGGACTAACGACCCTAACCCTAACCCTAACGCTAGATCTTGTATTTAATGCGTTAATAGAGATGCAAAAAACTTCAAATATTTTGATAACCTTCTTTCAGAACAATTGATTCCCTTTGAAATCCTATGTATTTCATTCTATGCAGTCAGTAGGGTCCAGGTAGGTGATCAACCATCTCTCTTTGCCGGGTCCTGTCCTGGTTTTAGCTCTGAAAGTCCCACATCCCCAGAAGCTCCTCAGTCCTGAGCAAACTGGGGCAGCTGGTCATCTAGGTCAGTGGCACATAAACGGTTTTGAAAATTTGTACTCCCTCCATCTTACAGACGGGAAGACAGGTTCAGGGATGAGTGACTTGCCCAGGAAGTGGGAAGCCTGGATGGCAACCCAGACCTTTCGGCTGCATCATCCACACTGTGTGTGTGGCTATAACATCCCCAACCCTACCCGCTCAAAGACATCCCACACCAGTGCTGGCCCCTGGGGCCTGGCAGCTACCAGGGTAGGCGACACCTCGCCACCCTCCACCAACTGATGAAGTTAGCAGCTAACAGTTACCAAGCACCTACTATCTGCCGGTCACCATGCAGGAAGTTTCACATCCAGCTACAAACATAATTTTTAACTGGATCCTTGTAACAACCCTATGTCTTTGCTATAATATTAACAAAAGCTAACATTCTGTGCCCACTCTGGACCAGACATTGTTCTAAGCATTTAAAATACATTAAAGAATTTTACTCTCACACAAAATTTTATCCAAAGCCTTGTGGAAGGATGTTACTTCTTTCTATTTTATACGTGAGGAAACTGAGGCACAGAGAGGTTAAGTGAGTCACCCAAGTCACACAGCTAGTAAGTGGTAGAGCTAGGATTTGAACCCAGGCTCTTATCCACTATGCCACTACCTCTCCTATTATATTGGCAATAAATAAGATATGTATCTATAACGCAGTTAGCACAGGGCCTGTAAATGTTCAATAAGTATTCATTTTTACAAATCATTATCATTGCTTTTAAACAGATTGTGGAATCCTTGAGAATGAGGGTCCTGCCTTACGCATCTTGTATTTACTGCTCCCAGGGCAAGGATGGGCACACATACATGTCTGTTGCTGGAGGAGGGTACAGAAGTGAAAGTGGTTCAAAGGCCTGCCCAAAGTCACTAGGCAGTGAGCATAGGGCAGGACCCAGCTCTGTGCGGCTGTGCTCTTCTTATTCCGTCTCTCTGTGCCCAACGAGCCTCTCACCTGGGCTTGTTTTGTTCAGAGGCCAGGATGGAGGGGTGGGGTCATTGGAAGAGGGGCTGAGAGACCCAAAGCCTGCTCAGCTCCTCTGGCTGGTCACGGCAAGTACGTACCGTTGCCCCCACTGCCTTCAAGATGCCAGTCGGACTCCGCTATGCCATGTGCAGAGCCTGTGGGGAGACGCAGGGTCCAGTCGGTGGGCTGTGTCAGGCCCCAGCGCCCCAAGGGGGAGGTGGAGAGAAGCTGGGGCAGTTACCTTGTTGGCAGCGAGGGCCAGAGAAGCCGGGGGGACAGAGGCAGCGGGTGCCCTGGCAGGTACCCCCATGCAGACAGGGCTCACGGAGCTGGCAGGGGTTCTCCTCGTGCTCACAGAGGTCTCCTGTGGGCCAGGGAAGAGGCGAGTGGGCATGGGCT